ATAATTGTATTATGGGGGTCAGCCTGACTAGATATCCTGGGAGATGGTGGACGGACCGGGTCCGTAGGGAACCCTACCGGGATTGTGGTCTCACATGCCGGACGGGGTATGGAGATCTTATGGTTTTGGCGCCCATACCGGACGGGGTATGGGGACGACCCGTTTCACCCTCATACCGGACGGGGTATTGAGGTTCATGGTTTTGGCGCCCATACCGGACGGGGTATGGGGACGGCCCTGGAAACTGATTATGAATGTTAAAGGTTAACGGGTAGCGGAACCCCTATGGACCCCCACGGATACTAGTAGGCTGGTAAATGAGAAAAAAAGATATGTTGTACAATGATTGAATTACAAGAGGCGTGATAAGTGTTGTGTTTTACAGCTTAGATTATTCAATGATTATGATAATGTTATTGTTTTTCTCATATTGTTTTCATAAATTCCACCAAGGTAAGTGGATGGTAAAAGTTTTATTATTGATAAAAGGTTTTGTTGTTAATAAACGAGTTTATTGTAAATTATGCTCCATTGGTCTTTTTGTGGTTTTCTACCCACCTTTATCTCCGTGACGGTGAGATATCGTGATGTTCTTACTGGGGTAGTGTAGCTCACTCCTTAATTAACCATTTCAGATCAGGAAGACATGGTTCCCGAGCCCGTTCCGCAGGAGGACGACGAAGGGGATGCCTAGAGACTCTGTAGTCATACGCATAGTTTATTTTCGAGTTTTCTTTCTTAGTTAGTTTAACCTTTTATATTTTAAGTACGTTTGTTTGGTTTTTCGTGTAAGGGATGTTAACTGAAATTTTGATCTCGCTTCCGCATTTGATATATTTAAATACTCATTTCATTTAAATATTTTCCGGGGCCGTTACAGTTGGTATCAGAGCCGCATTTCCTCGGACCCATCCCTTACACTATAGTCCTTTAAAGAAATACTCACCGATTGGTCGTTACTCAACCATTCCTTGTAAATGCAGGTACACAGAAATGAGGAGAGGAAGGCCCCCACTAAACCGAGCGGCCCAAGATAATTCGCTTCGGGAGGATTTGGACAGATTATATGAGATGGTGGAAGCTCTCGTAGCTGCTCAGCGAAGGCAAGAGGAGAGAAGGGAGTTACCCGGACCTCCTCCGCTAGCGCAGGTTGAGCCCCCGTTACAGCAGGCTGATCCCGAGCCACCCCGGCAGGAGCCTGTTCCTCCACAGTACCACCCGGCACCACAGCCGCGGTACGACCCGGTACCACAGCCACGGTACCAACAGGTACCGCCACAGCACATTCCAGTGCCCCCACCCCATCAGCAGGCGCCACCACAGGGTCCCCCAGTTCACCCTCAGCCGGCCCCAGTTCCTTTACCTCGGGACCCCGCTCCCTCCTTGATCGACCCTGGCTTCATAGAGAGGTACAGGAGACTGAACCCTTCTACTTTTTCGGGGGAATCCTCTTTTGAAGAGGCCCAATACTGGCTGGCGGAGACTGAGCGAGCCTTTGAGACCTTGGGAGTAATTCCTGAGCAGAGGGCTGCCATTGCCTCCTACATGCTGGTAGGGGAAGCAGTACGCTGGTGGGAGCTCAAGCGGGCCACCCTGCCTGTACCAGTTACTTGGGAGCAGTTCCTAGCGGCTTTCCA